CCTGACCTTATGGTCCAAACTGTAGTCCCCCATGGCTAAATGAGGTAGGCTGCAAAAACAAAGCTTGATAGAGTTCAGGTGCATGTAATTGAGTAGATTTGAAATCCCAGAGACCATAGTAAATACCTTCAGCACTTTGGTGGAATCTGCTGATAAAATGGAGACTCAGCTTGCAGGCTGTGGCACTGTCTCTCCATCAGAGAGCAGCGTCCCACCTAGCCCCAGCTTTATTCTCCTATCTGTCTTCTCTAATCCTTCCCTGCCCCCATCACATTCTCCCCTGGCCGGGCCGAGCAGCCACAGGAAGGATTTGTGATGCAGGTTACTTAAGGCCACAGTGGGCTCTGGGACCCAGCAGCTGCAGCTCTTCACAGGCTTCATTTCTCGCAGCTCCTTCCTCTGGGGGCACGTGGTCCGAGGAGTCCCAGCTGAGTGTGGGTTTGCAGGATAAACGTGCTGATTCCTGCCCCCTGGCTCCCCTCTGGCCCAGAGGAACCCAGGGCTGTGAGGTCTGAGGTCCCGTCTCGGGCAGTCACCAGTTTAGACTCACTGTCCTGGACTCAGCTAGACAGGGGTTAGGAGGAACTAGAAAAGGCTCAGCCCAATTTTCATAAAGGGCCCAATGGGAGGACCTAGTGGACATGCCAGGAAACAGGTGAACCCAGAGTACTCAGCCAATGAGGAGCAGCACAAATGGGCTGTGTTCCCGCCCCGGGGTGCCTGTACAGCCCGCAGACACCCGCTCTGGAGAGCACATTCAGGTCTCCTTTCACCGCACTCTGCCTCCGAGTGTCATTAGAATTGGGACAGGTGAGTATTTCTCACAGTAACTGTCTACAACAGAGTGTCCACATTGCCCACCGCCTAGGCCATGTGAGGTCTGGATGGGGGAGCCTCGGTGCAGGCGGTGCCCCATCCCAGACCTTGCTGAGGTGGCCATGGCCCAGCGTGTCACCTCTGCCTCCCACTCCCCTCCGGACTCTGCCAGAGCAGTGGGCAGCACCCTGGCTGAGCTGGGGGAACCCAAGACCCAGCCCAGGTACCCTCTGCTCTGAGCCCAGCGCGATGCATTAATTTCTCTGCCTGGGATTCAGCTGGAGGCGAATCAGTGTCTCTCCCAGGCCATTCCCAGACCCCGTTACACAGAGCCGGCACCCCACACCCCGAAATCGAGGCTGAGTCTGGGCCCACTGGTTCAGAGGCAACTGCCCACGGGGCCTGCTCCCCACTCAGGGCTGACCCTTCCCTGACCCTCTATCCTCCTCCTAAATAAGGGGGCATCCACTTCCAGAGCCGGACATGGGCAGAGAAGGGCATCTGGGTCATGAGGGCAAAGCAGGTTGCCAGAGAGAGATGCGACTTTATTCAGGAAGAGCTGGGGTGGGAGGTGGGCTCCCTGAATCCCACCTGTGGCCTCTTGGGCAAGAACATTAGAAGCCCATGGCTGCACATCTGAGCCACTTCAGAGACACTTGTGGGGGGCTCATGGGGTGGCCGAAGACTCGTCCATGGGAGGCACGGGAATGGCCTTAGGGTCATCCAAAGGGGGCAGGGGGACAGCCCCATCTCTGCTCACGGTGGGCAGAGCCTGGTAGGTCTGGTTCCAGTACTGCAGGTAGCTGCTCCTCAAGTGCTGCTTCAGGGACTGGCCATCCATCTTCTTGTTAATCTCCAAATAGTTGCCATTTTCCTGGGTGTAGGGCTCCCACTGGGTGGGCACAGCCGAGGGGCCCTTGTTGGGGTCCCTGCAAAGGAGAGGAAGGCTGTGTGGGTCTGAGGGCTCACGGGAGGCCTCCATGCTGACCCCAACCACCAGGGCACCTCACTGTGTCCTTGGCACTGGCTGGGCATGTACGTGTTCTGTGCCCAACCAGTAGCTCTATCCTCACACACAGAGGGTCAAGTACTGAGGCTCAGGGAGGTCAAGTGTAGGAGAGGGGACAGGCATGTGGGGCCCAGGGGGCAGGAGGCCTGGCCCAGCCTCACCCCGCCTTACCCAGTCCTGGCAAAGTTGGTCCAGTA